AGTAGAACCAGGAGAACATTGAACACAGTAACAGCAATATTTTAAGATGATCAACTGTGAATGACAGCTATTCTCAGCAATACAATGATCCAAGACAACTCTGAAGAACTTATGATGAACAATGTTATCCATCTCCAAAGAAAAAACTGATGGAGTATGAAAACAGATTTTAAAGGTGGTTTTTTTTTTTTGCTTTCTTTATTTTTTTGGGGGGGGAGGATTCTGGTCTGTGTTTTCTTTTACAACATGACTAATATGGAAATAAATTTTGCCTGATTTTACATGTATAACCTATATCAAATTGCTTGCCTTATCAATGAGGGGGTGGGAAGGGGAGGGAGAGAATTTGGAATTAAAAATTTTTTAAATGAATGCTGAAAATATTTTTACATGTAACTAGGGAAAAATAAAATACTGAATATCAGAAGGTCATTAGGACAGCGGTCCCAAAGGCAAATTGCATGTTTATGTCTATATGTTTATTTGTATTGATCCCATCTATCAGTTTTGATACAAGACTTGTTAGTCTAATATCTGGCTAAATAAGTGGACAAAGGACTACATAGTATGCTTTGGAAAAACTGAAAACAGCGTTTGGAAATCCCTAGCCAAATCCATTCCTTTGGCTCAAGGTAGAATCTTACTCAAGGCAGATCCTACGCCTTTCCAGAAAAATGCTCATACATTTTGCTAAAATGTTTCAGGATAGGAGACACAATGGCTTCCTCTGAAAACATGTCACAGTATTTTGGACGTCCAGCGTTCAGCCACCGTGCCACGGCGGACAGAGCCTGGCACTGGAGTCAGCAGATCTGGGTTTGCATCCTACCACAGATACTTACTAGCTGTGTACCTCTAGGCAAGTCACTTAACCTTTCTAACCTATTTCCTTATCTGAAAAAAATGGGAGAACAACATTTCCCAGCCATGAGACAAGAATGTAAAGTGCTTTGCAAAACGTGAAGTGCTATATAAATGTGATATCTCTAGACTAAGAAGCCAATTTTGCCTGCTAGAAGTTTATGATGCATAATCTCAGATGAATATTTAAAACTGTTCACTGTCTCTCTACTCTGCCTTTAAGGATTCCCATTTCCTTTCCTATAGCCATGGTTTCAGACCTCTCCCTCTTCTCAAGCTTCTAAGTACACTCTACTGGCACAGAGCCAACACAGACCATGGACATTCCACAAGGAGCTCCCTCAACTTCCCTCCTGCATTTCTCAAAACCAGAGTCATTCTCCACTTTCTCCTTTTCTCTGGACACATAAAATGCACCCCTGATCTTCACAAAGGCTGGTTCCTATATCTGTGCATTCCCTTATCTCCAAAATCTTATTTCAGTAGTTAGCACCTCTAATGCATCTTCAGCATCTCCCTATCCAAAGAGGAATAATAGAAAGAAAGCACATCAGACACATGATCAAGGAGCCGAGTTCAAATCCTGGCTTCAATGTTTATTAACTGTGACCATGACAATTCATTTACTCTCTCTGGATTTTATTTTCCTTATCTAGAAATTAGGAATATTTCCAATATTTATCCTTAGAGGGTTATTTTAAGTACAGCATTATGTGGAGTGCTAAATAAATAAGAATTAACTACCAATAAACATACTTATGTTTTAATCCATCCCTTAAATCTTCAATAATGGTTATCCACTGTAATTTCTTAAGAGGGTTCCTCTTCATTAAAGTTTTTTTTAAGAGAAAGCTAGATGACCACTTGTTGGGAATATAGGTGCTTGATAGGGTATATGTTCAACTCAAAAGTCTCTGTGGTTCCTTCTAGCCCTGTAATCCTAGGATTCTATCCCATTCTCCCTTTAAGCAGTCACTTTGACCCAAGGCTCTGTTTCCTTACAATCACAAGATCACAGAATCTCTAAGCATCATCAAGAGCCTACAAGGCCCTGCTGTCCTCCAGGAGCTCTTATTCTAATAGCGGAATACAATACACATAGGAAAGTGATAGCCAGGGAAGGCAATCACAGGGCTTATGGGTGGAACCACGGGACAACAGACTTTCACACCCTTTCCAATAGCATAGAATCATAGTTATAGTTACAAGGGACCTCAGAACCCAACTCTGTCATTTTAGGGATGAGGAAAAGGAAGCCCAGAGAAGATAGGTCCAAGGTTACAAAGGTATGTCAGAAGTGGAATTTGAACCCAAGTATTCTGGCTCCACTGTATTAGTCTGACTACTACTCCAAAAATAAAAGCAACAGAATGAAGTGAAAAGCGGTAGTAGCAGGACAGATAGCAAGCTGCCCGGGCTAGCTACGCTGGTATCTTGATAAGCCAGGCACAGTGATTTGAGTTTCCACTCACTCAGTCAAGAGAGCTCAGCCCTAGTGTGCAGTCCCCAGATTTAGTAGATTAAATGGTTCCAGTGGGGTATGGTCTTTGGAATGTTCCTGTTCCTAGTGAGAGGAAAGGGAACAGAAATCGGAGATAGCAAAATGATCACACTGCACAGGCCCTGATTTCCTGGTAGACAGCTGGATACAATGACCAGTTTATCTAGACCTAGTCTAGACTCAAAACTTCCCTTCAAAATGTTGCAATCTTCTTTTTACCTCCACCATTCTATTGAAACTCATCTCTCACATAGGTCACTAGCAACTTTGTAAACACCAAATTAGGGTGTATAGCTATTCAGGGAAGGCTAGCCTCTCTGGTGTGAGAGCTGCCAATCCCTTTTCAGGGCTGCTTATCTACCTTTGGTATCTACCCATCCCCACCCAACTCTCACCTATGGTTCCTAGAAACTGTAACAGCAGCAGCCACACCTCAATAAAACCATCTTGACAGATGGGCTAACACAGGTTATGGGTAACTAACAGGCCTCAGATCTGTCATTGAGTTGAGAGGGTGTCTGCCCCAAGCATGTGAAGACTTTCCCTCAGTGGAATGGGTGGATGAGACCAATTTGTTCCGATGACCATGAAGGCCGCTGAAGCACTCAGAGCTTGGCTGAAGATACCCAGATCATCCACCACATCTTGGGCCACCGCCATTCATCCTGACTTCTGTCTTGCCACTGGACTTCAGTGACTCCGGAAGAGAGCGAGGCTGATGATTGTGTTCAACTCTGCCTCACTTAAATCCAATTCACTCACAAGTCAGTACATCACCTAAATGATGTCATCGGTTCTCTTTAAACATGGGGACAAACAACAATCACCAAATCCAATGGTTGTTTCTCTGCCTTCATCTTCTTTGGCTTCTCTACGCTTTTTGCCCTGTTGACTGCTTTCTGCTTCTCTGATGCCAACCTCTTCAATGGCTCTATTATTGCCCCAATTCTAATTGTCTTTTTTTTGGTAATCTCAATAATTTCTGAGACTTTACTACTTTTATGCAAATTACTTCTAAATCTATCACTATCTTCTGCTTTGACCTTTTTATGAGGTTCAGACTCACATCTCAACCTGTCTTTGTGAAACATGCACGTGAGTGTCCATCTGGTACATCAAATTCAACTTGCACAAAGCCAATCTAATTAGCTTCAATTTAATTCTTTAAAAATTTTTTAATTTTAATTTTGAACTTAACAAATACCAAATAAAATGAGAATTTATTTATACATAGTAGAGCTGAAAAGTAGAATTACATATCTATGAAATTACAAATCTCCATTGAGTAAAATTTATTTTAAAAAATGTTAAGTTCGATCTATAGCTTTCTTTTTTAAAAATGTAATCAGTCACAATCCTTCACTCTCTACTACCCCTTCACTCCTCTCAATTGAGAAAGAAAAATAAAACCCCTTTTACAAAATGTTTAGTCAAGTAAAACCCATTTCCACACTGACCATGTCAAAAAAAAAAGTCTTGTTTCTGTACTCTCTTTCCCCTCTCTATCAGAAGGTGAATAGTATGTTTCATCATTATTCCAACAAAATTGTGGTGGGTTACTAAACAGAGTTCTTTATAAAGCTGTTTGACTTTATTGTTGTCCTTGTATAAATTGTCCTGGTTCTGCTCATTTCAGTAATGCCTCAATTCATTCAAGTCTTCTCAGGTTTCTCTGAAACCATCACTTTCATTGTTTCTTCTTACAGCACTGCAGTATTCCATCAGACAGCTAGGTGGCTCAGGGGATAGAGCAGTAAGCCTGGAGCCAGGAAGACCTGAGTTCAAAATCAGCCTCAGACACTTATTAGCTGAATGACCCTGGGCAAGTCACTTAATCTGTTCGCCCTAATCCACTAGAGAAGGAAATGGCAAACCACTCCAGTATCTTTGCCAAAAAAACGTCCTGGGCAGTGTGGTCCATGGGATCACAAAGCGCCAGACATGACTGAACCACAAGTATTCCATCACATTTATATGCCGTTAACTCCCTTAACCAATACGCAATAGACACATTCTTTGCACCTCAAAAAGAGCTGCTAAAAATATTTTTGTACATACTTAGAGTTCCTTTTGTTTAGTACTAATCCCTCCTTTAATCCTACCCTCCCCTGTAGTTTCTTTGCTTTCCCTCCTACTTCCCTGTCCAGTGAAATGGATTTCTGTACTCAACTGTGTATTCTTCCCTCTTCTAACCAGTTCCTCTGAGAGTAAACTTATTGAGGGTTTCTTTCAAGAAATTACCTGTAGATACTTTCTGTTTCCACTTTTTTTCTTGGCTCTCTTTTTGGGGGGTAGGTGGATATAGGTATTAGCTTTTAAGTAATCCAATGATTCTTAACTTTTTTTCTCCTTGATCTGTTTTCCATGTCAGTTGTATTTGTTATGAAGTACCTTCCAGTCTTTTGGCTTTAATATTCCTTATTGTTTCGCAGAGTCACTGACTTCTTTTAGTCTACTCTAGTTTTCTGGGAGTTTGCTGCTTAGACAAAGGTTTTGCAGCTCTTCTACCAGTTGTTAATACCCTTTCTAATTCTTTCTTTCATAGCTCTTTCTTCTCTTCCATGTTGTCCCTCTAGTGTTCTCATTTCATTTGTAAAAATATTTTAAATCTTCTTTTTAACTCTTGTTCCATCTCCAGGAATTCCAACTAAACTTGTGCCCAAGCTGCTCTGGTTTTGAGGCTATGCGCGTGGATGTTTTGGAGTCATTTTCTTCGGAGCTTGTACTCTGAGCGTCTCTATCGCCACAGCAGCCTTGCATGGTGAGATTCTTGTTCACTTGTTCTTGCTTACTCATTTTTCCAGCCTGCTTCCTGACTCTGGACTTTATGTCAGGGTCAGACTCTGTGCACTCCTGCAGGGAATATGTGACTTGATCTTATTGCTTTCTTGAGGTATAGGGCATTCTATTATTCCAAGATCTCAGAGATAGCTCAGCCTAGTGATGTACAAGCTTTCAATGCACTCCCAACGTGGGGTGATCAACAGTAAAGTCTCACCTGCCCCATCTCGCCCTTGTCTGAGATCTGCAAGTTCCTGATCTAGGTTTGGAAAAAAGAAATTGGAAAAAAGTGGTAAAAAGGATACCACTGTACAACTAGAAAAAAAGGTAAACTAGTCATGTAGGATATATGTGGAATTTATTTAAATATCTTTTACACTTACAAAGTTTTGCGTATTGGGAATAATAATTTTTAAATTTTAACAATATGGGGTTTGCTATTATTACGCCTTTTTAGTTTCTGGATGACACTTTGTCAGACATGTGGATTAATGGAGGAAGTCCTCTCACTTGGCTACCTCAAAAATCACTAGATCTGCCACCATTAGACTTTTCCCTGTGAGATTATATCACTTACTGTGTGACCTTGGGCAAGTCACTTAAGCTCCATGGGCCTCAATTTCCTCATCTGTAAAATGAAGGAGTTGGAACAGACGTTATCTGAGCAACCTTCTGGCTCTAATCTATGAACTTGTGATAACACAAATAGTGAATAATTCAAAACTTGTTTTTATTTGCCTTGGCAATAGCTTATCTTTGAGTTTGTTTCTAAATTTTCTATTTGAATCTAGTTATGTTTGATATCCTAGAAATTTAATCATTTTAAACATAACAAAATTCTACCCTAAAGACTGTGTCTCAAGAAAACCTCATCTTCTCCATTCTACTCTCAGTTATACCCTTCTCTGTTTCACACTCCATGCTGAGAATACACAAATCATCTCTCAGATAGGCTTCAGAAGCACTGGGGGGGAGTATCTTTCTTTAGATATGACTAATGTATTCACTGTGGGTCCTAGACTTGTCTATGTATGCATGTAGGGAAATTCCTGTTTTCTTTTCATTTCTTACAACAGGGAATGTGCTCATCACACATGAGAAAAGGAAAGGCAGAAATTACTTTCACTGAAGAGAAGATGAAACAGTAGTGACTAATTTCTGGAATTACGAAACTTACTGAGTTGACAGCTCTTAACACATGCATTAACTTCTACGGGCAACAAAAACAAAAACATCTTTTCCTAATCAGTATTATGTGCAAATCTGAAATTCAATCTCCATCGCATATGCAATGCATCCAAAGTCTCTTCAGATTTTCTACTTTTTATATTTTTTATGTATATAACAAGGCATTAAGGATCTCTGTCCAAAGCTTATCTACTCAACCCAAAAGTACTTAACCATTCTCCATTCTGAAGGAAGAGAGAGAGAGACTGACTGAGAGGGAGATGTGATGACAGCAGAGAGACTTCAAGTAAAGAAGAGAGAAAGAAGAGTTGATCCCCCTCCCCACACATCCCAAACTGGCAGGAGAGAGCAGGGGGAGATGAAAGGAAAGGCTGAACTACGGAACAGCTGCCAGCTGGTTGTGGCCATCCCTATAGCCAAGGACAAAACTTGTGATGTCCATTCACACTTATACCACCCCAGGACAGAGCTGACCTGTACTCTCAATCCTTGTTCTTCATGAGTCTGTTTCCCTTTTTTGCCATTAGTTTTTAAAGAAACCGGTTTCTCCCAACTTATATGTTTATTGAGTATAGTGTTGTCTTGGTATGTACCTTATGAGGTCAAACAGCTGAAAGGAGAAACAATAGTGTGATGAGGTACCGAGAGACAGATTACATTAAATTAAGATTAATAAACATTCCCCGGCAAAAATATGGGAACCTGCAACTAAACAAAAAAAATATTATTTTTATTTTTATTTTTTAGGCAATTGGGGTTAAATGACTTGCCCAGGGTCACACAGCTGATAAGTGTCAAGTGTTTGATCTGAGGTCGCATTTGAACTCAGGTCCTCCGGACTTCAGGGCTGGTGCTCTATCCACTGTGCCACGTAACTGCTCCCAGAAAGATATTATTGATCTATGTTTTAAAACTTCCCAAAATAGCAGAGTGAATCAGGACCAAAGGAATCTATGCACAGCCTAAGCCTAAAGCAGCCCTCGTGGAGAATGGGAAGAGACAGCAAAGACCTAACAGCTCTTCCTTCTGAGGGAGACACCTTCAGCCCTTGTAATTTGGCCAGAAGGAAAGGGAAGGATAAAGAAAGGGAGGAACAAGAATAAGCATTTATGTAGTACCCACTATGTGCTAAGCATTTTTACAAATATCATCTCACTTGACCTTCACAACAATCCTGAGAAGTCAGTGCTATTATCAACCCCATTTTACAGTTCAAGAAACTGAAGCAAACAGATTAAATGACTTGCCCAGGGTCACACAGCTAGTAAATGTCTGAGGACTTAAATTCAGGTCTTCATGACTCCAGGTACAACACTCTATCCACTGTGCTATCAGCTGCCTCAGAAGGGTTTAACAAAACCACTTTCCCTACAAGGGAGCTGATGGGCAAGACTAGAGATAAAGCTATACCTAATGGCAGGAGTTAGGAATGAAAGGTGTCACCCACAGAAAGATGAGGGCTGGTCAAGAGGGAGTGTAACTAGCTCTTCTGATTTACACAAATACCAAATAGCCAGCAGTAGGCTGATCATGATATATTCTTTGTCCATGGTAAAAATAAAAATTTTAAATGGCCCTTAGTCCTATAAGGATACCCCACAACCATATTCCCTCCTATGAAACACAATCAACTGTCACCAAGGCCAGTGGCTGGCTATGTGTGAAACCAGCAATACTATGTATTTTCTGTACCAGGGAAAAACAACTCCGACTCTGAAATCCACCTTCCCCCAAGAAGCACTTCTCTGTATCACAACTGCCTTCTCTCTTCCTAGAGAGAATAACCTTTCACTCACGATGAAGGTACTGCAATACTACATTCATGTATAAGCAATAAATAAATAAATATTAGACCATCTAAAAATATTAACTTGAATTCCTAAATGCGAGACCTTTGATTAATGACCAAACAAATTGAAATCGTTCCAAGAGCTAAACTACATCAATACTGATATTCTTGTAATAATCAAACCAAAAGACAAAAGTTAAGTAGCAGCTAACTGGTTCACAAGTTGTCTTTGGAAAGGCAAATAAAAGAGTTATATTTCACATTCATCAAGTCCACAAGAGAACTCATTAAGCCTCCCCCAAACCATCCTATTTCTGTAAAGGGTGCCGCCATTCTTTCAGTCACCTTGGTTTCTAACTATCTAGCTCTTCTCACTCTTTTTGTGGAAAATGAAAAGTATTTATGATACACAGGTATTGAGGCTTCTCTCCAAGTAATCCACAAGCCTTTGGCCTCTTTCACTTCCCAAACATGAACCATTATTTTCCAACATGCCTTTTTTGACTCTATTCTGCAATGGCCCCTTACACTGATGTCCCGAAAGGTCAAAGTGTATTTTGTAGCTTGAAGTGAACACTGAATGAAACAAGAGATTTTAAGAAGTGGAGGGGAGGACGGTGTATATTCAAGGCCTAGAAGATAGCTAGTGCAAAGGCCTGAAGGGAGGAGATGGAGTGTCATGTATGAGGAAAAGAATCAAGGCCAGTTTAGCTGGATCATGCAGTGTTGGCCAAGAGTAACGTGTAATAACGCTAGACACGGAGACTGAATCCAGGTTGTGAAGGGCTGAAAATGACAGGCAGAGGAACTCATATCTGATCCTACAGGTAACAAGAAGCCCCAATAGTTTATGGGGTAAAGGCATGAGATGGTTAGGTCTCTGCTTTAAGAAAATCATTTTGGGGGAAAAAAAACACAAAAAAAAATAAAAGAAAATTTTTAAAAAAAGAAAATCATTTTGGCAACTATGTGGGATAATAGATTAGAGAAGGGAAGAGAGCCTTTTTCCACAGGGAAATCAACTAGGAGATTATGGTATAATAGTTCAGGTCCGAAGTGAAGAGATCCTGAATTAAGGTGGTGGCTGTGTGAGTACAGAGGAGGAAATGGATGTCAGAGATGTTAGAATTAACAAGACTTGGAACTGCATGGATATGTACCATAAAAAATCAATTAGTTAGAGTGTCAGATTAGAAGAAAGCATAAAGATTTGAAGATTAAATTGTGTATAATAATTACAATGGCTTCAACATGACTTTTAAACAAATCATCAATGTTGAAAAAATGGAAAAAGAAAGACAATGACTATGACTGTCATTATTTTCTACTTAAGTTTAATTGATGCACTGTTGTCATCATAATGAGGAGGTCAAAACAGCCTAGAAACCACCTTATTCCTATCATCTCATAAAACAGCGAAAAGCAATGGAGGAAAAAACAGAAGTCTTGACAAGAGACCTAACTCAACCATGGCACTCAATAATATTTACTGATGAAGCTGGTGGGAAAAGCAGATGGAGCATGTAAGCATTCTGTCAGCATTTCTACTGTGATCCATTTCCATTGTGAATAGTCGCAAAACCACCATATATGATCTTCTCAGTGGTGGACACATATGCTGTATCAGGATGTAAAAATGATATTTAAGAGATACATAATCACTCAGAAGAGACCAACCTAACAGTTCATGCAGGAAAAACCAAGAATAGTTTTTCATCCACTTGGGTTTTCCTATATGGATTTCCCTCATTTGATGGCAAGCTGTATTTGTATACTGCATTGTCTTTCTATTTGTATCTCAAGTGCCTAGCATAATGCCTGGCCCATAAAGTTTATTAATAAATGCTCACTGATTAATTATTCTTTAAGAAAAATATCTTTTAAATATCTTTTTTATTTCCTCACATAGCAAATCAGCGTATTTAGATACTGAAGTGTACGATGGACCTAATGAATAAGGGGAAGAGGGAACACTGAGCTGCATTTAGAAAACTGTTGAGTACTTTTAATTTTCCCAAGCTGCTCCCAAAATAAAAACTCATCTTCTTAACACAGCATCCTTCCAGTGATGATGTATGTCTGTTAGTCTTGGAACAAAGTCTCCAAAGAATCAAAGCTGTGGGTGACCCAAAGGGCATAAAAGAGATGCTGGTATGCCTAAATAGAGGCTGTAGCATATTTCCAACAGTGACCAATACACAAAAACTGCTGTAGGGTATTCAGGAAATGTATGACTGGAAAAGGAGATGAGAAGCCATATAATAGGAATGAATAATAATAGCTAGGCAGTACATGTGTACTACACTGGTACCTATGAAATGTAAAAAGACCTGAGGAAATCATAGATGAGACCTCAAATTGTCCTCAGGACACTCAGGGAGAAGTTCATGAGTAAACCAAAGAATATAAGAACGAGGAATCCACTTACCATGAGGTCCAGCTTCCCCACCAATGAATATGGGACAAATGACAAGGGACGGGTATAGAACAGGTAATGCTGCAAAGTCTCCAGCCCTTGTGAGTCCCAGACAAAAAGAACCGCATTCTATAAGCCCAAACCCCAATGCTTACATTGTATTAATCTCTAACATGCATCAGCTAGTTACAAATCCAAAGAAAGGTTAATTTTATGATTACTCAGTATTTAAAGATAATATCAGCCTCTCCCATGGAGACTTGTAGGAGACTGCCATTGTAACTTTGAGAGGCAACGGAATCTTGAAAAGCATTTTAACCAAAAAAATTATGAAAACCACCAAAATTACTATTAACAGCAAATTAAAATACTGATGTACTTCAGAACACTGGGGAAATGGTTCTGGAATAATTCCTAGCTTTAAATTCCATATTTCCTACATGCCATTTAAAACATCCATTCCACTTGATTTTAGTTCAAGTCATAAAATATTAAAATATTTTCTTAGACAAATTCATGTCACGAACATTCATGAAATCACATCAACCACACCAATGCAATTTCATATTAAAAAGTTAAAATTCTGAATGTGTACCTCAGCTTTCCCCTTGCAGACATTGCTCCTCTATCACATACATGTTTTCAGATACTTTCCTGCTCGCTAGCCCTGAAATAAAAGCCTCACCTACTCTGCCCTCCCTCCAGCCCCTCTCCCCTCTCCTGTAACAGAATCGGACTTTAGTGCTACTCTAATGTTTTCACTTTTCTG